CCACAGGAGGCCACTGCCTCGCTGAAAACTGTACGGTACCAGGATAAGCAGTGTTGGCTGGACAGGATGCACCCTATTCCACAGAAAGCCAGAGAAAAGTCAGAGGCCCAAAGGGCAAGGCACTATAGAGAAGATGGCCTTTAGGGCTTTGAAGGATGAGTAAGAGCTCTCTTCTCCTAAGGAGGCAGACTTTGGAGCCACAGTGACCTTGCGTCTCATTCTGGCAGTGGTTCCTGGAAAGCTGCTTTACCATAGGAGCCTCCTTTTGCTCACTTCTAGAATGACAATGACATCGTATCCAGGCTGGGATGTTACAAAGATTCCTATGGTGAAGGGCACCAACTGAGCCTTCACCTCCTTCTCATGTTGCACGGTGCAGCCAAACTCAAAACTTTTCAACCCAGGCTCTTAAAGTTCTACCCTGATATTAAGTGCAGGAGTCTAGAGTAGAAACAGGCCCAGCCCCCTGTGCTCACACTGGAGCCCCCGCCTCAGCCTTCTAGTGCTACAAAGCAAGTGATGGCCAACATGTGCCCCACCCACACGCTGTGGGCCCTCCGTACCCTGAGGCTGGTCACTCTGGGGTGGCACTAGTGCATCTGGACAGGCCTCATCCTCCTTCCACCTCGCTGGCAAAATCCCTAATCGAGATCTCCTCTGCTCCCACGTGGCCGCGAGCTTCACGCCCAAATGGATTCTGCTTACAAAAACGTGTTTCTAAAAACCAGGAAATATTCTGTTCACCCCAAACTCAAATGTTCCTGGGAAATGAGCTGGCACTTTACACAAGAGGTTTACACTATCAGGGTGATGTTATTTATGCTGCTGGCAGGCTAACTCCGCCCCAGGGACTGCTCCTCCAGTTCTGTCTGTTGTGTCCCTTGTGGGCACCTGAAGCTCTCAGCTGGCAGGATTCAAGGGTCACTTAAAGGCACCTTCCAGCTGTAATGAAACATTTGGTCTCTGTCTAGCACTGCGAGCTCTGCCATCTGGAAACAGCCTCCCCAGGAACAAGGGCAGCCAGCAGCACGGCCTGGGCGCTCCACGCTGGGGCCTGACTCCCAGGGCACCCCCAGCCCAGGGGCCGACACATCAGCCATGGCCCAGCTGCTTAGCAGGTGCAAGGAGAAGCCGGGCACAGGAGTGTCTTGAAACAGACGTGACTCCATTCAGAGCATCTTGGTTTAGAGCAGGGGCTGGCACACTATGCCCTGTGGGCCTACTCACACTTGTTTTGTAAAGTTTTATCGGTGCACAGCCACGGCTGTTGTTTCCATGTTCGTGGCTGCTTCTGTGCTCCAATGGCAGAGCTGAGTTGTTGTGACAGAGACTATATGTATACGTGGGAGGTAAACAGAGTCCTCGACACGAATCACATCTGCTCATTCTATTTCTCATGAGGTGACTGCACTTTGTGCTGCCATAGGACACCAAGAGAAATGTCTCCAACAAAAGGCAGCAACCTACAGGCACATACATGTATGTACAGGTACACGCATGTACAGGTACACACATGTACACATTCACACATGTACATACTCATGTATATCACACACATGCTCATGTACACACACGTAGACACACTCACATCTGCATGTACAGGCACACCGGCTCACACATGTGCACTCACACATGCACACTCTCACATACACACACGTATGTACACGCTCACACATATAAGTACAAGCACACACTCACACATCCCCACATATCTCTTTCTAGCTGCACTTGACCTGGCACACGCTTCCTCCATGTGCATCACCTACTCTCTGAAGCACGAGCACGCTTCTTGATGAAAGCATGTAGGTCAGTGCCCCAGACACGACTCAGTGTCCCAGCAAAAGAGCTGAGTAGGTTTTGAGGAGCTGCTTGGAACGTGGAAACATGAGATGCGTGAGCATGCGATCCCCCAACAGGCCCAGAGACCCCCATCCCCTGCACCCCAGGTAGCAGTGCAGACATAAAGGAACAGCAGGTGCCAGGGACTGGACTGCATTCATGGCACACTGCCGCAAACAACAGTGGCTCTCGGTGACACCTTCGGCCTCTCCCAGCAGCCACAGCAGCACTTCCTTACCAAAGGAAGAAACTGCGAAGCAGCAGGGTTGGAATTGTGTTTGAAGCCAATGGTGAAGAAAGAAAGGAACACAGAGTCCCGCAGCCACACGTGGCCCAAGAAGGACAATGCAGACAGTATTTTCCACGGGTAGCCACAGCAACCACTCCAGCCCCTGCCCTCCTGTTAAGAGGAGGGTCTGTCTCCCCAGCTCTGGACTCGGGCAGGCCCTGCTCCTGTTCTGACTAACAAAGCATGGCAGAACAGGCTGGGCCAGCGAGCAGCCTGGGGTCTGGGAAGCCAGTGCCAGGCCCTGAGCGGCCCCAGGCACGGGGCAAGTCCACAGAAGACAGCCCAGAAGAAACCGTGCCGTGCCAGCATCAGTCGCCGGCCAGGTGAGCCGGCACAGGCGTCCAGCGGCCTGGTGGGCAGGGGGAACCCACAAAGACAGGCGCCTCCTAAGAGAGCTCGAGCCCCTGGGAAGTCTCAGCAGGACAGCAATGGGGCCTGGGCTGACCGAATGTGGCTCCTGTCTCCTCAGGGATAAGTATGCTGATCTCAGGGCTGCCACGAAGACAGAATCGTATGGTCGGGATGGAGGGCCCAGTGCCGGCCTGTCATTGGCACAAGCTCAGAGTACCATAAGAAGAGGCAGGGTCAAGAAGGACCCTCTGTCCAGAAGCTTCTGCGATGACCTGCTTCCTGTTGAGGGGGCAAGAGGCAGATGCAGGCTGAGGAAAAGACACTTGTCACATCTGTGTGAGCCCTCAGCCCTCAGGCCCTCCTGGGAGCACAGGCCATGGCTGGGAATCCGGACAAAACAGCTTTCTGACCCAGATGCAGAGGGGCTGGAGCTCCGCCCTCTGTACCGATGAGCTGCACACTCACACGCCCTTCCACCTCCACGCCGCTGTGCCTGACGGGGAGTTAGACCCCAGTGGCCTTGTCCCAGAGGGCAAGGGCAGCCACAGTCCAGGGGGACAAGCCCAGGGGACAGCCCAAAGGAGGCTGCAGCAACGCTGTGACTAGAAGCCCCTGTGCCCGACGAAAATATCATGGCCAGAAAGCACGCCCGTCCCAGATGGAGAGCCACCATCTTCCTTTCACCCTCAGGAAAGATGACGCAGGCTTTCCCAAACGGGCTCCTGCGGAACACTGGCCCAGGCAACCAACAGGGTGCCACATGAGAAAGGTTCTGCAGCCTGGTCCGTCAGAAAAGTAAACAGAGACTGTACACCTGGATCTCAAGACCTGTACCCTCCCCACAGGAATCCCCAAAGGGAGCAGCGCCCCAAATCAATCACACGTGCCCACCCTCCTGCCCCCACCTCAATCTCTCTCCCTGCTCCAGGCATCGGCAACAGGCTCTCAAGTCTTCTCCCACCTGCACTGTGTCCCCTACACCGCTGCCACACGCAGCAAGTCTGGCCAGCCTCAGTGCCATGTGCCCACTGCCCGGCTCTGCTCTGCCCAGGGGCACCCCACACGCAGCCCTGCCCCGAGCGCAGAACAACCCTCAGGACTCCGCACAAGCCAGCCCCGGGCCAGGACCCCCCTTCTCTCCCTCACTGAGGGGACACCCACTCTTTCTCCCGGCACCTTCCACTGTCGCCTCACCTGAGAAAGGGGCTGACCTGCCGCACAGGGCTCGCTGCCCCGGACGGCAGCGACCTCCCGCCTGCCCACCTCGAGCGAGGCTGCCGTGAGTGCAGGAGTGACTTGGCTCCGTCACACTGTGCTCCTGCCACACCCTGGCAGGCAGGGACACTGGGGGTCCCCGGCGGGTAGTGGCTCCCCCACAGCCTTCCTTCCTCAGAGAGGGGAGACTTCCCAGGGCCCCAGTCAGCCGTCCTCTCGCCCTCTGGAAGCAGCCCGCCTGCAGGGGGCGTGAGAGCTCAGGGAGGATTTGCCGGGGTGACGGGGAGGTTCCCGCACGTGGCGAAGGGCACACTCTCAGCTGCTGTGCCGATTGCCGATTGCCGCTGCGAGCAGTGCAGCGCCACCCAAACGCTCCCGTGGGCAGTGGAGAAAATGGAGGGTGAGATAGTGGCGTCGCACAGCAAATGTACTCCCCCTGGGCCTGTGACAGTCTGTCGACTTCAGCAGCTGGCACCCCAGCCCTGTGGGGAGAAGAGGTGGCACTGCAGCCCCTCAGGGGGCCACGGCCAACATGGTTGAGTTCCAGGGGTGCAAAGGGCTCCCGAAACCCCAAACCAGCTCCCACGGTGGAGGGAATACCACAGTGGCCAAGGGAATGCTTGCCGCATGTGGAGGGGTGCGGCTGGCTTGCTTGTCTCGGCATCCAAACACACACGTGACAAGCCAAGGCTGTGAGCGCAGCCTTGGCCCGACCTTCAGTGAGACTTAGCTGTCAGATGTGGCCAGTTTCAGGGCAGTCTTTAAAACCCCCAGCATGCATGGGCTACTGAGGGTGAGGGTGAGGGTGGCCACTGCCCATGCCCAGCCTCATGAGGCACCAGCAGCCAGGCCACCAGCAGTCGGCTTCAATCCCAGGAGGGCGGCAGGCCCAGAACAGGGCCTGCTCCAGCAGAGCCCGCAGCCAAGGCTGCCTCAGAACAAGGGGCTGCGACCTCCAGCTCTGTCTGCCATGGGCAGAACAGCAGCAGGTGGCACACAGGGCAGGCCCAGACCCACGTGCGGCCTGCGCAACACAGCCCTGTGCACGGGAGCCCTTACTCAAAGGCACGCTGGCCGCGCTTGTGCGAGCACTCTCCTGTCTGGTAAACACAAGCCTCAGGTCCAGGGAAGGGAATCAGCGGGCAGTAAGGCTAACACCAACTGGTGACTTATAACCTTGACAGAAGAACTGCTTAGCAATCAGTCTAGTTCATATTCCAAATATAGGAAATCCACCTGGCATATGGTTTTTCCAGAAGCAATTCTATTAAAATTTAATTCGAACAAAGAAAAACGCTGCACTTACTGTGGCTAATTCGTCGAACTTGCCAAAAAGCTCGTTGAGGAGTTTCACCAGCTCCTGGGCCGTGCACTGGGACGCCAGGCCTGTGAAGCCCACGATGTCCGCAAACAGGATGCTGCAAGAGAAAGGGTGCCGGGCCGCCCCTCTCAGCCGCTTAGGAAATAGCCCCAGAGCTGCACGGACATTTGTATCTACCGTCAGTTAAGCATTAATCACCCCATTTATTCCTCAATGCAGGCATGAAGGCTTCCTTGTTCCCATTTTATAGGTGAGAAGACAGAAAAGCCACAGGACACCCCCTTGGCCACAGGGGGAGTAAATACTGGGGTCATTCAGAGTTCGCCATCCCTCGTGCTGATCCCTACCCTACACCGCACAGGGATATCCCACCTGGTCTCCGCTGGAACTGCCTACCCTTCCTGGGGGGCCACAGAACTGGGATGCGGCCAGCGGCACAGAGCAGAAGTGATGTGCTTTAAATGCACGGGCCCCTCCACACCCTATGTTTCCCCTCTGCCAGCTGGATGCAGGTGACCATGAGGCCCTAGGTGTGGTGTCAAAGCTTCACAATGGAAGGGGACAGCGTCCCTGAGTTGCTGGGCAAAGGCACTGCCCCTGTGGTCTGCAGTGAGAGCAGGAAACACGTTGTCTTGTGCTGAAGCCTCCAAATACTGGCTGTCTATTTATTACAGAACAGGGGTCAACATAAACCACACAATGTCCACCCACAGAACAGAACTATTTTTTCTGGAGATAATAAGACTTTAAAAACATTTTTTCTATTGTTTTACCTTCTTATAAAATTAAAATATGCTCTTTGCAGACTATTAGGGAAATGAAGAAAATCATGTTTTTGTCTGGAAAAAGTTTATATCTTTAAGATACCTCTTAACAAGGTCCCAAGCATTCATTCACCTTTTTTTCAAAGTGTTCTTGGCTTTCCTCTACCTTTGAGACTTCCTGAACCCAGACCACCCCCCAGCACCCCTATATGAAAGACATAAATGTCAAGTAAAGGGAAACAACCATTCTCATCAACAACAGGTTTCACGAAAGATGGAACAGCCAGGAGGGGCAGGAGGGGAGATGGGCTGAGAGCTTGGACTCCAGGGGAGCTGTCCAGCTCTGCCAGTGACAGCCACAGAACCACAAGAACTTATCTAAGTGTTCTGCACGTCTGGCCTTTCATCAGTAAAATGAGAGTAAGACTAGAGTTCAGGTCTACCTTGCATCTAATAAGAGCTCAGTAATTATTTATAATCATTTATAATAATTTTAAGAATATTTGTTCATTTATTTATTCACTTGTTCATTCAACAAACATTTATTGAGGGCTATATGTGCTGGCCTTGTTCTAGGTGCTTGGGATTTAGCAGTGAATACAATATTCAAACAGCCCTCAGAGAGATTCCATTCTATTCAGAGAAGGGGAGACATTCAGAGTATACATGTAACTATAGAGAAACTGAAGCAGGGACGGTGGGTATGGAGTACTGTAAACTCAGATTGAAGGAGGGAAAGAAAGGAAGGAGGCGTGTAAACAGTGAAAGAAGAAGGGTCCAGGCAGAGGATACAGCAGGTGCTGCTCTTGTAACTTTGCCTGGATACAGAATTCTTATCTTTTTATTTTAGCCTTGGAATATGCCATCCCACTGCCTTCTGGCCACCCTGAGTTCTGATGAAAAATCAGCTCGTAATCTTGTTGAAGATCCCTTGTAGATGATAAGTCATTTTTCTCCAGGTGCTTTCAAAACTGTCTCCTTGTCTTTAGCTTTGGACAGTTTAACCATGATGTGTGTTGGTATGGGTCTGTTTCAGTTTATCCACCTTGGAATACAGCAGCCTTCTGAAATATGTAGGTTAATGTTTTCCAAAATATTCGGGACATTTTTGGCCATTATTTCTTCAAACATTCTTTCTGCCCCGTTCTTCTGCCCCGTTATCTCTTTCCTCTCCTCTGGGACTCTCACTATATGTGTGTTGATGTGCCTGATGGTGTTCCACAGGTCTCTGAGGGGCTCTTCAGTTTCTTCAGCCTTTATTTCATTTTGGTCTTCAGAATGGATAATCTCAATTGACCTAGCTTCAATCTCACTGATTCTCTTTTCTGCTTGCTCAAATCTGCTGTTGAACTCCTCTGGTGAATTTTTCATTTCAATTATTATATTTTTCAAATTTGGAATTTCTACCTGGGTTTTTAAAAATAATTTCTGTCTCTCTATTGGTGTGCTCTGTTTGGTGAGAAACCATTCTCATAGTTTCCTTTAGTTATTTAAAGGCAATTTGTCCTTCCAATACATTTAAAATAGCTGACAAAGTTTTTGTCTAAGAAGCCCAATGTCTAGGTTTCCTCAGGGACAGTTTCTGTTGACTGCCATTTTATTCCTGTGTGTGGACCAACCACGCTTGTTTTCTTGTTTATCTCATATATTTTTATTGAGAACTAAATAATATAGTGTCGCAACTCTGGAAATCAGATTTCCCCTGCAGCACCCTGCCCCAACTTCAGGGATTGCTGTTGTTGCTGTTTGTTTTTTATGTTGCTTATTTAGTGACTTTTTTAAACTAATTCTACATGAGCATGGTCTCTGAAATTCCTAGAATTGTCCCAGAGTCTTTCAAAGCACCCCATGGATGTCTCATTCCCCAGTTCTTCCTTTACGTTTTTTTGTTATTTTGCTGTTTGCCTCAACTATTATCATTGCCTAAGGCAGCCATAATATTAAATGATTGCCACTGACTGTTTTGAACAGGTGTGCCCAGTGAAGGCTGTTCACACTTGCATTGATTTAGGTCAAATAAGGACAATTCTTATGAGTGTGTGGTTTTCTATGGAACTTCTAGGTAGGTCAAATAATGACAACTCTCTGAGAATGGGGCTTTCAAAGAACACCAACCCCAGTCTGAACCCCTCCAGTGGCTGCCAGCTTCCTGTTTTTTCACAAAAACAGCAGTGATTGGGATTGTTGGTTTTCAAAGTTACTACGAAGCTAAGGAGATGAGCGGATGAGAACGGGGTAAGTTATAACACCTCAGAGCTTGCTGTTCTTCCTGAGATTTAGTTGTTTTTCTTAAATTAACACTCCTGGATTGTTGCAAGTCTTTGGTTAATTTCCAGAGTTCTGACACTGATTCTGACAATTTTTGTGAGGGTTCTTGTTGCTTTCACAGAGGAGAGGACTTTCAGATGTACTTACTTACTCCACCATTTCTGCAGACATCTGCCTGCTAGGAGCTGTGAATGGTGTAATGAGCATGGACTTTAAGTCCCGAGTGATTCAGAATCACTGGAGGATTCCAATGAGGACAGTAATGAGATCAACAAGACGTTCATATCTGGGAAATAGACATCTACAACATCTGCCAGAGGAGGGCCACAGAGGCGCGGGTGGTGCTGGCACCATCACCATAAAGGAGGCTCGGCTCCTCGCTTACCCAGGCTGCTGCACCTGCACACAGCAGCATGAGCCCACCAGTTACTGTGGGACCAAAGAGCCCCAGGGGATGTGGATGGAGATTTTCAAACAGGGAAGAAAAGTACTGACTCTCCATATCTGTATTTCTCGTTCGCAGATAGGAAGAGAGCTGAGAGAAAGGCACTTAGGTGCCCATGCACCTTACCCAACCACAGCTGCAGCCCCAGGACATCCCTGACTTCAAAAACAAAATTAATTGTGGTAAGAACACATAACATGAGATCTAATGTCTTAAAAAATTTAAGGGTACATTATTGTTGACTACAGGTAAAGTATTTTACAGCAGGTATCCACGGCTTATTCATCTTTCTTGAATAAAACTTTATGGCCATTGACTAGTAACTCTCCATTTCATCATCCCCCAGGCTGGTAGCCAGCAAGCCACTCTCTGATTCTATGAACTACTTTTAATACTTCCTACAATTGGAATTATGCTGTACTTGTCTTCCTGGAACTGCCTTATTTCACTTAGTATAATATCCTCAAGTTTTACCTATGTTGTCACATATTGGAGAATCTGCTTCTTTTTAAAGGCTGAATAGCATTCCATTTTATATACATATCACATTCTCTTTTCTCAGCTTTGTTGAGATATCATTGACATAAAAATTGTGTGTGAGGGGATGTGTGTGTACATACGTGTGAGTGTGTGTGGCACACAGCTTTATGTTTTGATAAACACATACATGGTGAAATGATTACCACAAGCAAGCTAAGTACCCACCACCTTCACACACTTACCATTTGTGTGTGTTAAGAAGATAAAATTTAAGACCTATCCTCTTAGCAAATTTCAAGTATACAATATGGTTAAACATCATGACCATGCTGTATACTAATTAGGTCTCAAGAATTTATACATAATACATAATGAAAACTTTGTACTCTTTCATCAATGTCAGCCCACTTTTTTCTCCCCCAGCCCTGGCAACCACTATCTTACTTTGTCTCTATGAGTTTGACTTTTGTTTCCACCTGTAAGTGAGATCTTGCAGCTCTCTCCGTATCTTACTCATTTAGCTTATAATATTCTCCAGGTCCATTCATGTTACTGAAAATGGCAAGATTGCCTTCCTTTTTGGTTACTAATATATACATATATTTTAGTTAACACATAATTTTACATATTTATGGGGTGGAGTATGACATTTCAATATATGTATACAATGTGCAGTTTATCAAACCAGGGTAATTAGGGTACCCATCACCTATAATTTTTATTTATTTGTGTTGGTAACATTCAAAGTCCTCTCTTCTAGCTATTTGAAAAAAATATAATTATTGTTTATTATAATCACTCTTCAGTGCTACAGAACAATAGAACTTATTCCTCCTATCTAGCTATAACTTTATATCCATTAAGCAATCCAACCGCTCCCTACTCCCTACTCTTCCCAGCCCCTAATAACCACTATTCTAATCTCTACTTCTACAAGATCAACTATTTCAACTTCCACATGAGTGTTAACATTTATCTTTCTGTGCCTGGAATATTTCACTTAACAAAATGTCCTCACGTTGACATGAATGGCAGGACTCCATTCTTTTTTATGGCTGAATAGCAGTCCATTCTGTGTGTATACCACATTTGCTACCCTTTCCTCTGTTGATGGACACTGGGGTTGATTCTGTATTTTGG